GGAAGGTGTCCCTGCTGATGGCGGGGGGGTTGGGACTGGATGAGCTTTGAGGTCCCTTCCAACCCAAACCAGTCTGTGATTCTATCACACATGCACAGAATCACAGAATCTTAGTGGTTGGAAAAGACCTTTAAGATCACTGAGTCCAACCATAAAAAGGAAATGGATAAAACATATTTTCATGTTAACTGTAGGCCCTCAATTTACAGATCAAGGAAGAAAAAAAAGGGAAAAACCACCACAAATGGTAGTTCTGCAAACAGCTGAAGAACATATAAAATGGCACTGCCACCTTCTCTCTGCGGATGCTCATCCACTCATCTTCTGCTGTTTCTCCTCCCTTATCAATGCACAGGTCCATTAAAAAAAAAAAAGGCCAAAAACCCAACCCAAAGCAAGGAATTGAGCTGGCTAAAAACACTCCTGGCAAAAAATACCAATAAAAGAGAGGTTTTTTCAGTTGGATTAAATCCCTCATCCATGTCACCTTATAACCACATGAACACTTCAGCTGGCAACGATTCCAGAGGAGCTGGGTGGGCAGAACAAGCAGGAAGAAGGTGAAAGCAGGAAGGTGTGCTTCTTTCTGTGGTAATGCCAACTTACAGCGCTGGAGGAACCGCTGGCCCAGCTTCACGTTGCACTTGAAATCAAATGCTTGCACTAGGACAGGGAGAACCTCCACCCTGCCTATCATCTGAGCGTGGGTTAGACAAGGAAACTTCAAGGACACACTTTTAGAAGGTCCATTCAGTAGAAAACAGAGCAGAGAATGGAGCCACCAGCACTGATCAGCTATCACGGCCTAAGGATCTCTAAAATGGAAGGCCAGGGAATTCAGGTTCTTGTGCAATTATCAGAGAGTATCTGACTTACCGAGTCAAAGAGACAACGTGGACATCAAAACCCTAAGGAGAGGTGCTGTGGGACTTGTTATGCAGGACATAATCTTGTTTAACTTAAAACTTGAGATATCATCTTCATAAATCTGACACCCTGAATCACAGCCTTTCCAGACGGCAAGAAACACACGACGAGCCAACTGAAGTTCACAGAAGGATTTTGCCAGCACAGCAATGTCGAGTGGAAAAGTGGTCTTCTCACACCCCTAAGTGACGTACACTCCACAGCAGCACCTTCTAGTGAAAACCACTGCTTCTCAAGTTTACATGGACAGTGAAGTTTTTGGCTTTTGCTACGTCACACAAACACAACACAGAAGGCATTTTGTTGTCCAGATGACATTCACATTCTGCTTGGGAAGTAGCTGGGGTGTAATCTGGAGACCTTGGTGTAACGTTAGATCTCCTTAGATCCCATCCAGGAGCAGGGTACATCAATACAAGGGAAACCTGAAATACCAAGTTTAATTTCATCCTGGCCTGGATCAGCACCAGTGTGACCAGTAGGAGCAGGGCAGTGCTGGTCCCCCTGCACTGGGAATCACTGGTGAGGCCGCAGCTGGAGTGCTGGGTTCAGTGTTGGGCCCCTGAGTCCAAGAAGGACATGGAGGTGCTGGAGCGTGTCCAGAGAAGGGAACGGAGCTGGGGAAGGGTCTGGAGCACAAGTGTGCTGAGTTCCCTTGTGGCTGAGGGAACTGGGGGTGTTGAGCCTGGAGAAAAGGAGGCTGAGGGGAGACCTTGTGGCTCTGTGCAAGTCCCTTGGAGGAGGGTGGAGAGAGGTGGGGGTGGGTCTGTTCAACCAAGGCCCAAGGGACAGGCCAAGAGGAAATGGGCTGAAGTTGTGGCCAGGGCAGTTGAGATGGGATGTGAGGAAGAATTTCTTTGCTGCAAGGGTTCTGAGGCATTGGAAGGGGTTGCCCAGGGCAGTGGTGGAGTCCCCATCCCTGGAGGGATTGAAGAGTCGTGTAGACACAGTGCTGAGGGACATGGGTTAGTCATAGGGGACTGGTCAGTGTTGGGTTCATGGTTGGACTCCATGAGCTTAAAGGGCTTTTCCAATCCTGGCAGTTCTGAGATTCTGGGATCATTATCCTCCATCAGACCATCTCTTGAAGACTTTTTCCTCCTATCTCCTTTCTTGCTGTTACCATTTAATGTGTAAACAACTGAACTGCTCATTCTCCTGTCCATGAAGACTTCCCTCCATGGAGGGAACACCCATACAAGTCTGCAAGGATCAGTTTGTGTCTGTATTTTTTCTCCTTCTCTGTACCAGCATGTGTACTGCAGGATGCACCCTAAGCCTGAGAGAAGGACTCAAACAGTTGTAACCACCCATCCTGAGTCTCTACAAAGAACATTTATCTGCTCAGCTACCGTGTGCTCAATGTTCCAGACACAGAAGGCTCAGGCAGAAAAGGTTGATAAACTTATTTCCCTACATCACACTGCTCTTCTGGTTTACTGAAAATAGGCTTTTTTCCCTCCAAACCTGCACATCTGCTCACTGAAGAGGGGATGAAGCAGCCTCACCCACACTGGGCTATGAAGGGAGAAAAACTTGTCCTACCTGTAAAGCAAACTAAGCATCTCAATGAGATATTTTATAAGGCTGCCTATTAAAAGAGGATGGGAACCCTACATCACACTGCTCTTCTGGTTTACTGAAAATAGGCTTTTTTCCCTCCAAACCTGCACATCTGCTCACTGAAGAGGGGATGAAGCAGCCTCACCCACACTGGGCTATGAAGGGAGAAAAACTTGTCCTACCTGTAAAGCAAACTAAGCATCTCAATGAGATATTTTATAAGGCTGCCTATTAAAAGAGGATGGGAAAGGAGGAGTCACGCGCTATCATCTCCAAAAATCACATCCACCCTTGAACACGGTGAGGAATTAAACCATCTACTGTCCCAAATGAGCAGGTTAAAATTCTGAACACTGGGAAAGATTACAAATTTCCTTTGTCAAAGCTC